CCTCTCCGTGGATCTTGAGCTCACCTCCATTTGTCAAGTCCCACAGATTCCACAATCATTTTCACTCCCAACACCAAGCTGTCAGCTGAGTAGAGCAGCCTCGTCTCCCTGTCGTGTGCTGTCTTCATTTGCAGAGTTTAATTTAGTCTGTATTGTAATTATTGTTATTTCTACATTAGCATGGTTCGGTAGTGTTAACCTTTGTGTGTTTCTATCCGACGTAGCCTTGTTATTTCCATCATCTTGGTCAGCTACGTGCTTCCTCTCTGGTATCTAGCTGAGTAAATATAGTCTGTAGCTTTTTCCCTTCACTGTTCCAAACCTTGTTATATTCTGTTAATACTCTTGCTTGTGCTTTGTATTTAGTCTATATGATTATTGTCAATCCGTGTATGATTAGTTTGCTCTTGTCCGAGTTTAATTGTTTAGCAGTCGTCCCCAGAAGTAGCTGTTGTGCTTCGGTACATTTCTTTGTACCTAGTAAGTAATCAGTGTTTTAGTCTTTCCCTTTTGCCCCCTTCTTTTACCCCGTTAGTTTGCCTCTACGCCCCTCACCCCGTGCACGTCCTGCCTGTTTCCTGGTTTTGCACAGAAACTCATTTTTGTCTGTCGTGTTCCTCGTCTGTGCTTCGGTTTTCCGTGACCGTCTCTTGTTTGGTTTCTGTAGCTGTTTGTCATCTCTGAAGTAATTTTATGTTGTTTCAGGACTTTATGTCTCTGTATTGTCATTTCGTGTCTCCTTGTAGGTGTTTTTCATTGCTTTGTGATCATTTATAGTTATTTATCTTGTCATTTTATATTCCCTGTTAGTCATTTTGCCTCTCTTTTAGACACCGATGCATATCCTACTCAAATATACACACACACACCAGCGCAGGTTTTTGGGTGCACAGTGGTGACTTTTCCTTGTTATTCCAAAATATGTTGGTATTCAGATAGCTAATGTACTTACTAAGACCAGAATAGGACAAAAACAAACCATCACATAATGTTTTAATTATTACTATCATGTTAGGCTTTTATTTTCTTTCTTCTGTAGTCTTTGCTGCAGATGTGCCCACAGGAGAGCAAACCTGGTACCAACATGAGAACAGCTCATGTGAGAATGTATACATCCCACACCACTAGCTAGAAAATGTAAGATATGTGCTGTGACAAAAGGTGAAATATTTGCACATCCAGCCAAAAGAGACATTTCTTAAAGATGTCTGGCTCTATAGCTGCTAAATGTTCAGCTGTGACCGTCAGCTGATCGACAGCATCTCTGTGCAAAGAAATATTTTGGAAAGAGGTGAAAGAAAGAATGAACTTGTGTACACACCTTACCACCTTTCACACAAACGCAGGCTTAGAATCCCCAAACTGTGTGCATCATCTACACAAGAGCCAGGAAGTGATTAGTCACATCGCATACAACTGCGTCTAAATGGCGTCACCAAAATAGAACCTGCTGTCGCCCTTGAAAACCTGCTGGTGTCAGACACTGACAGAACAGATCGAAACTCAACCATGACAACTCCAAGCATGTTTCTTACTCCAAGTGTGTGGTGACTGATACATACTGGTTTCCACTATGCAGATTTTTCCATTAAACAAAAACAAAACTGGCTGCTGAGTCCAAACTACTTTTTGGTCAATTGCCAGTTCTAAAGTAGAATTTCCTTCAGAGACCATCATCCCAAGAAAAACACAATTTGTATTTTCAGCAAGTTTCCCACAAGGGACAAAGCCTTCCTGGAGCTGCAGTATTTACAGACTTTTGTCTGTCAGGTTTCTTTCAACGAAAACCGTAGATGTTCCCTGTTTGGAACAGATAGTTATTAGCGTAGCCATGACCTGAATTTAACAGAGTTAATGTTGTTCAAGAATCCCAAGAACCATCGATAGTTGTAGGATGTCTCCGAGATACATTCTCAGTGTCATAACAAAGGGTTTGAATACTTGTGTGAATGGGATATTCCAGTTTTTACAAAACACTCCAAACACCTGTTATTGTTTTGCTGTGTGCAGAAAGATGACAGAAAAAAACATGAATTCATTCTGAGACGAGCCTGAAGCCTAATAAATGTGGAAAACTTGAAAAGGTCTGAAAACTTTCTGCATCAACTGTAAATTAATGTTCTTACATTTCCCTGTGATGCTATAAATTATTTTTGTGCAGCAGGCATTGTGCGCCTCAGGAAACAACACTGACTCTCCAGATTATAAAGGAGCAAAAGTTGAGAAAATCAAGGCGTGACCCGTCCAGACCTTCCAGTTTCATCGACAGGAAAGTTGTGTTGATGTAGTTGATGCACACATCCTGTACATGATCTGCAGACAATTCACTGAAGAATATTGAACAGACATCATCAGATCTGTTGGTGTACCAGAGTCACAGTAGACTCCTTGGTGCCTGTTAGCCTGTTAGCTTGTGGCTACTCTATCTGTCTGCCAGTAGACTTTGGCAAGAGTTGCTGGTTCAGTGTGATAGACAACTTTTAGTGCCTGTTAGTTTTTGGCATTTTGGTCTAAATACATGTATTGCTTCCAGGTTATTTGTTATTTCCCTACTTGAACGTTACAACATTGTGCGAAGTCTGTATAATGCGATCGAGTGATGCTATCTGAGTCGTATCAGTTGGGGCTGAAGACGACAAGTCTGAAAGTGAACAAAATCTAACAAGTGGTCATCTCTCCTTGAGGCCAAAGGATCCAGACTATCTTAGTCACCACGAGTATAACACACCTGAATGTTTCAGATAACGAGTTAGCATATCTGAAGCGTGGACTGTTATCCCCATGTTGTCATTGACGTTCTTTTGCTCTTAACACTGTTTATGATTTTGTGGAAGCACCTCTTGGTCCTGTACACTGAAGTTAAACAGGTATACTGGGGTTATGAAAGAAGGAAAAGGTCTAGAGGTCACCAAACACACCAAGAGCCATTCTCAAGTTTTCGCTTCAGCACAAAGTTGCCATTTTTAGAGGCGTACCAAAGAACCAGACGGTGGAGCATCACTTTAGTGAGTTCCATCAATGTCTATGCATTGCATCCCAGTGTGTCTTAATACAGTTGGAAATTGGTGGTGCAGGAAAGGACAGGCCATCGCCAAAAACATTTGATTTCACAGGATCAGTTTGACCTAAATCCCTCCCTAAGTATTGCAGACCATCATCTTTTACACTGTAAAGGTACATAACGCCGTCCTAGAGTAGTAAGTTATGTAATGAGATGTTGAACATGGTGATCATGGTTGTTACAGATATTCATTTTAATCTTTACAGATTTTTCTGAATTGAATGTTAACAGGTGTGATGTAGTCAAACATCCACTCTCCATAATGAGACATATTAGCAAACCAAGACATTCCTATTATTTGGGAAGGAGAAATATTACCTTCAGGCCGAGTAAAAGACTCGGTACGATACCACAATTAAAACACATTTGTGCCTGTGGCCTTTACTGGTGTGTTGTTGCTTTGTTCAGTTGTATGCCCAAGGCCTCTCCTCAATTCCCCATTAAAGAAACACTAAGACGATCTAAAGAGCAACCTTGGTTAGCCGATGAGTGCTTCAGCCTTGAAATGGGATGAGCTTGAATTGTCATGCCTGAACCATTTCGCCATTTCCTCCCACTGTTCAACGCAGTGCACGGTTCGTCACACACAAAGCAAGCTGGAGACGCTTACCTGGGTCGCATGAACAACAACGACGACATACAGGAGATGTACATTTTGCTGAAAGGTGGGGATGATGTGGACGCTATCATGTTAGATCCTGAAAAACTCAGGGACTGTGTTGTTGTCACCGTTTGCTGGAAACCTTGAGAATTACCTTGAGCTATAGCATATGGTTTCTGTTTATTTTGCCATCAGACAATGTTGGGGAACTATCTGGCTTCATCTTCAATGTGACCAATGAGACGTGATGCTACATATAATTCCGTTTAATGAGAAGAAAAGTCGAATGCTTGTAAAATATTATTTGACCTCCTTTTAAAATTTTTGGGAATTTTGCAAAATCAACAAACAGAAATCTTGCCTATAGAAGCTCTTTGGGATCAAACAGGTTGGCAAAAGTTTCTAGTAGCAGCTCCTCAAATGGGAATATCTGCTGTTTTTTGTTTTATAGTTCTTTTTTAAGACAGGAAGGTGGAATATTAGAATGTGTTTTATCCACCGATCCAGCATTTAACGACTGAAAAATAACAGAAGTGTTGACAGTGAAGATAATTGGATAGTTGTCCTATGAAATCATGCTGCTTTTTATCTGCATGTGCACCAGCTCCTCATCTGATTCAGGAGAGGATCCAGCAGTGGACTTTAATTGAGGGCACCATAACCTCATAGTACACGAACACATCCCTTCTGAACCTTTGACTTATACATGTTTCCTGTGGCATTTGATGTGAAATAGTTGCTGAGCAGCTTGTGTAGTTTTACACCTCTTTTAAAGCCGGTAGTCGAGCTTCACCAACACTGGTGGTGAAGTGACAGACTGATCCTCCACACTGCAGAGCCTTTCAAACGTTTTTCTGCTTTCATAGTCCAGAGCTGTTTTGGGTCTGGGCTCTCATCAGCCTTACCTCCAGCAGATTACCTCTGGTTCCGTTCAGCTGTGCGTTCCCTCTTATAGGTTAACTGTACTTACATTCTTTCAGTCTCACCGGGGGATTTAAAAAGGAGAAAAAGCTTGACTCGTTGATGTCAGTGTGATTTTTCAGCCCAATATTTTTCAGCAGGTACCCCAGAGATGGAGTGATGATGATGATGTGCTGATGGGATGAACGCGCCGCTGTTTCCATACCTTCTCTCTCTGTGTGTGTGGGCGTAGTTGAAAAACTCCCGAGGCGGGGAGGTGGTGGGACTGTTTACGCAGTATATTTCCCTCCCATTGGTGCGTTCAACAGAAGCCGCTCCGATGACACAGCCCAGACTGCGGTGATAAAAAGAAAGGCGGCGTGCTGCGCAGGGGGAAACAAGTGTTAAGAGTGCGGACAGCAAGTTTGGTAAATGGTGGATGCGCCTCTACGAGTCCTAACGCGGCTGGAACTATCTGTCCAACTCCTGAGGTACCGACTCTACACTCTGTACTTTATTATCATCTTAAGACTTTTAACTTGCAACACATTTCGTGCTCGTCTGTTAACAAAGTGATAAAAGACGGACTTGGCGCCAGTGCGCAATTACGCACAGGTCCACATGATGATTTAAGCAGTTACGACGGAAATTCTTACTTTGCTGATCTTTCTTAACCAAATAGGAACAGGGTGAGAAAAACTACAGCAATTTAAATAAAGAAGCCTAAAATGACAGGACAGTAGTGTTAAAGTGCATTATTGTAAAGCTTTTGGCATTGACAATGTGATTGCAGTGATGATTCTAAAGTGCAACCAGTGCAAATAGGTGGTTTTAATTCATCATTATTGAAACACTACATTTGAAAGGTTTTGTTGTTTTAATCACTGGGACAGATGAATGTATTTGATGAATTTCTAGAACCTGCAAATTTTCAAACTGAACCTGTCTGTGTTTTTTTTTTTTTTTTTTTTAATTTGTGTGTCAGGGATCTGGTGAAGAATGGAGTGGTATGTCCTGGTGCTGATGCTGAGCCTGCCGCCCTCCATCCACACAGATTGCTCTTCACACTGTCAGAAATGCGTGGATCAGATCCTCAGCCCCGCCGCCGCGCTCAGCACCCTGGTAAGACCAACTTTTATTTTACAGACAGCAACGACCGGCGTGTTTTTACTGCGTTTTCGAACATTTTTTTTTTGGCTTTTTACGCATTAAACTTAGACAACAGAAGCCAAAAAAATGGGCTTTTATTTGCTCCTGGAAACTACAAAATGCATTAATTAGGTCTTTCAATGACAACTTTTTGAAGAGAAGTTAAAAATACTGATTATATGAAGCATGAAATTAAGAAAACTGAATATGGAACATCTGGAATGGGTGTCTAAAAACTACAGATAGTTGGTGCGTAAATGTTGAGCCTTTGCAAATATATCAGCAAGCAAAAAATAAAAACGTGTGCAGCTCACTGTGTGACAGATGCCGGTTGGTTTCTCTTGTCTTGTGTCCTGCAGACGTGCAGTGCGGAGTGTGACGGCCAGCTGGAGAGCTGCAGCCAGGCTCCGCGGCTGGCGGACTTCAGCCAGGACGAAGCTGCGGAGGAGGAGGAGCGGCAGCAGGCGGACCTGGTCAAACGTTACGGCGGCTTCATCAAGAGGATCGACAAGAACAAGAACAAGATATTTACCTCTCCGTGGCGCGACAACAACTACATCTTGAAAGCCAGAACGCTGCCTAAGAAATACGAGGAGTTGCTGAAGAGGATGGAGGAGAGAGAAGCGGGCGCGTCGGAGGAGGACGCAGGCGACGCTCCGGAAGATCAGATCCGATACGCGAAACGCTACGGCGGCTTTTTACGCAAATTCGGCCCCAAGTCAAAGAGGAGTAGCTCGGCGGAGCAGCAGAGCCAGGACGCCGAGGAGCTGCAGAAGCGCTACGGGGGCTTCATGAGGAGGGTCCGGCCCAAGTTGAACAACCTCAAGTGGGACAAGAGATACGGAGGCTTTCTGCGCCGCCACTTCAAAATCTCTGTGCGCTCAGTGGAGGAGCCCTATGACTCCTACGATGACACGAGCTTATAGGTGAACCCCGCTGAAAAAGAAAGAAAGAAAGAAAAATAATAAAAAAACAAAACTAAAGGGAACTCGGGCAGGTGTACTTGAAATGCCAGTTCATCCCAGAAGCGTCATATGCCTGCCTCCCGTGCTTACGTCCTGCTGGCTCGTCCTCTGTGTAAATCTCATTTCTGTATTATTTGCATCATCTGTCATCCAATAAAATGATGCTTGTTTAATAAAACCATGAAGAAATCCACCGTCTTGATTGTCCGAGTTTAACAGGAATGGTCATTTTTCAGCCTCAGTTCTGTTCAGTCTATTAAACTCCATTTCTTTCTTTCTTTCTTTCTTTTTGGTAGTTGTATTTATGTTATTACTTGTGGACCGACTGGACCTAAAGAGGCTGTTATTAAATATCAAGTAAGCTTCAACTTAGCCTCAATACATCTTACATAATATAATAAAATCTCAAGTGTGTTTCAATTAAATTAAATAAACTGACAGTTGACTGTAGAGTGGATATTTAGTGAAATCATAACGTCCATGATGAACTACTTTGGTCACATTTTCTCTGTTGTGACTAAACTTTACTGCAAACTAACAAAAAAAATGGAATATGGCTGCCTGGAGCTGTCCAACTATGGTAAGACATGCCATTCAGCATTTAAATGTTTTCACAGTAAGAATAATTGAAATAAATAAAGTGGACTTGACAAGTATGAAAACACCCATTTTGCCCTGTTGGTCAAGTGACTGTTCAAACACACACACATGAATCTGATCACCCAGCAGCCACTCAACACTAAGCTACTCCTCTTGCGCTACCTTGTGGATCAGTTGTTCCTATTTAGTCTCCAAATTCTTCCGCTGTCGCAGCTGGAGAACGTGAATTTAGAAATCTATGAGCTGATGACAGCTGAGCTGCTGAACTCCACCTCAAGACATCGTTTTACGTCAAATGTAGAATCTTTAAGCGAGCTTTAAAAAGAACACAAGAGTCCTGGTCTCCGTTTATCTCCACATTCACATCAACTACACAGACATTCATATTTACAATTTGTAATAATGCGCATCTTGTTCTTTCAAAACTGAGGAACCAAACTCCGGCTCCTTTGCTGCTCACAGCTCCAGAGACCAAATCAGCTGTAATGAACATATCAGTTACAAAAACATGTTTCCTGTACAATCACTACGTTTCTGACGCCTTCTGAATTGACCGACATCTACGTGGAAGGCTCAACTGTCCATAAAAAAACAAATAAACACAGTGCATGAAGCTGTAAGTGTGCACAGACCCTCAGCCATCACAGGAAGTGCACATTCAGCCCAGTCTAACGTGAAGCCAATCAAGAGGGGCAGCTGGGGGACGGAGCAGCTGTCCTCAGTCTCACTGCTGCTCGGCCTGCTGCTCCCCGTCGTCCTCTTTCATCTGCTCTCCCTGACCTTCGTCCTCGCCGTCAGTCTGGCTTCTCTCCTGTGAATCCGCTTGCGTGGCCTCCACCACGCTGATGCTGCTGACCTGCTGCTGGACGGCGGTGCCCTGTGCCAGCGTCTGCAGCGTGGCCGGCAGCGTCACCAGCTGGAACTGAGGGCCGACCACCTTCACGAAGGCCGTGGAGGCCGCCGAGCCGCCGGCCCCCACTGCGCTGTCCTGACCCGCTGCCGTGGACAGCACGGTCAGGTTGGAGGCGTCCGCTGTCAGCTCCGACCCACAGACCGGGGAGGTCAGGAGGGTGTAGCCGCCCAGGTTGGTGCCTGCTTGGGCTCCAGCCACAGTCAGCACCTTGCTCAGCGGCAAGCTGGTCAGCTGGTTGAGAGGCAGCGTGATCTGCGTGGGCGCGGCGTTGACCGTGGCGGGGCCGGAGACGGCGCGGGTGAGCCGGGGACGCTTGGGTGCGGTGGGGGCAGGGACCGGGGTCAGGGTCATCAGGACGTTGTTGAGGTGCTGCGATTTGCTCTTCAGCTCCTTGGCTCGCTTCCTGTGCTCGTCACACTGCTGCTCCAGAGCTGCAGAAGGAGACGACAGGAGTTTCATTCAAACACTTCCTGTAGAGCTACACAAACGTCTGTAGCCTCAAAAAAACAACAAGTCGTCCTGAGTACAGGATCTCTAATGAAAACACTGTTCAGGATTCTTGTACTGACTGGCAAGGCTGCGAGTGTACTGCTCTCTGTAGCGGTCCATCTGGCACTTGTGACTGGCCAGAACCTTCTTCACCAGGTCCAGCATTCCAAAGTTCTGCACGATGTTGTTGAGCAAAACAGCATCTGAAAAATACAAGAATGTTCCATGTTCAGAGAAACAGAGCCATATTAAATATTAAAAGGCCAGAGATTTTACACACCAGTGCATCTCCAGTGCTGCCAGCAGGACAACACACAGTCCTGTCCTGACTGTTGGTGGCTGATGTGTATTTTACACATCTGTTCATCTCTGTGTGATGGAACCTGAGCACCTCTGTGTGGTTCTCACCTTGGACCTGCAGCGGTGGATCACTCACTCTCTCCTGCAGCCCCTTCAGCACCTCCTGCAGCTCCTTCTGGAAGTCCTTCACGACTTCTTCCATTAGCCCCGCCTCCTTCACCGATTGCCAGAACGCCACCGAGTCCTCTGGTTTCACACATCCAAATATAAAAAAACAATCATTTACAACAATCCACTCGGTCACGGTTTGACCACGCTGACGTTGAATGTGTGAGTGCAGGCTGCTGATCACCTCCGATGGCCGTGACCCACTCCGAAGCCTCCTCCGTCACCTCCGGAAACAAGGTCGCTGCTCCGTTCACTGCAAGACAAAGCAGTGGAATCGTTTCTTCAGTGTGTCTTTACTAATTTTACCATTTCGTTATCAGCCTAAAATAGTCCCGTTAACACTTATCCAGCATTTGTCAGTCCTCAAAGGTGCATCGATGTCTAATGAGACGTTACTGACATCAGCTGAAATTACTGACACTTGAGCTATGAGTTGTTCTTTCCTACAGATACTGATATCACACCGCTCATGCATGGGATTTAGGAGGGAATATAAAATGTGTCTGTTGTCGTCTACAGGCCCGAAACTTGAGGCACTTAGTAATGGCAAAGTATTAGACACGAGCATTTTGTGAGCATTCAACCACATCACATGTAATTTAAATATGAACGCATCCTGTAACAGATTCAGCTTTGAGATCAGAATGAGGCCCGAACTAGAACTTACAATCAGCTGATGAAGGGGTGGCAGGAACCAGATCGGCCGACTGATCGCTGCAGATGGACACTTTGGTTCCCACCAGGTCTATCTTGGTGCTGCGGCAGGTGTTGGAACAGACCTTTGCGTGCTGGTAGAAGTCCAGTTCACCCGAGTCCATGATCTTCCTGTGAAATGAGATGCGATGAAAGTTGTTTGGCATTTACTGACCGTCATGACTGAGTGAACAGCGCCATCTGATGGCAAATCTGTGAAACTGCACACAAACCACTGAAAGGAATGAATCTTGTTTGTTCATGAAAGTATAGATTGACTGAAATTACAAAATGCATCCACATCATTTATCAGAGCACAGGAGGAATCAGCAGGTTTTCAGCTTCCTGACAGTCCTGACTCTCAATTTCATGAAGAAATTTAAACAAATCTCGGCTTAAAATTGCGGCATTTCTGGAAAATCACTTCATTCTGCACGCCTCATTAAAAAATGTACCAAAAACAAACAGTGTGGACTAGATCCTGTAAAAAACAGAACACCCTGCCAGTCTGTCTGAAATTCAAGTTGTGTTTGCACAGATTTACTTCACTACAGAAAGTCACTGTTTATTTTTCAGTAACACCAGTGAGCACACGTTGTACTTGCTGAATCCCCATTTCCATTTTTGTAAATAAAGTAATCAATAATTAGACCTTTACTTCTTTTTTTTTAAAAAGATTTATGGCAGGGGTGTCCAATCCTGGTCCTGGAGGGCCACAGTCCTGCATATTTTAGATGTGTCCTTCTTCCAACACACCTGATTCAAATGATCAGGATCGTTATCAGGCTTCTGCAGAGCTTGATGATGAGCTGATGATTTGAATCAGGTGTGATGGAAGAAGGGAAACGTCTAAAACATGCAGGACTGTGGCCCTCCAGGACCAGGATTGGACACCCCTGATGTATGGCATTAGAATGTTGCTATAATTCATACAAGAACATTTCTGAGTTTTGCCTTCTTCTAGTCGTGGTTTGTGCTGTTTAAATTAGATGTGCAGGACTTTTTTACTGCAGTGGAAAATAAGGGTTCAGTGAGAAAAAACGTGACGGGAGTGGGTTGGATCGGTGCTGACGTGTTTCCTCCAGTTACAGCCATCTAACCAGCTTTTTACCGTCTGATACGTTTCTAGTGGATCGACAAAAAGTGAAATACACAACGGCTGTTTTGCTGATGTTTTACTCCAAAACTCTTCTTCATGTAGCTTATTGTGGCTGATGTTAGCAAAATGTAGACCGCATTAGCATTAGCATAAGCATAAATATTAGCATTCGCTTCAGAGCTAAATTATCAATGCGGTACTTAATCACAATAATTCATGTATAAATAACTGTCTGCATTATTTTTGACAGCCTATCAAATTCCTGCAACATAATCAAGCCTACAAAATGCAGCCATAAAAAGGTTTCCTGGTAAAAGTCACACTTCTTTGACAGCAGACCTGAGCATGGTGCCGTTGAGGCGGATGGCTCTCTTCCAGTCCTTCAGGGTGGACTTTCCTGCTAAACACACAAACTCCTTTGGACTGATGAGCTGCTCGTTGAACTGACCAAAGAGAAAAGAAGGGAACAAGCGGTGAGCCGTTGCTGATCCACTTCATCCTAAACGTTCAGATTCTACACAAGCTGAGCTGCGACGTACCTGGACGCACTTCACATTGATCCCAGGGCAGACGAACTTCTTCCAAACCAGAGTGGCTTTGGCATCTCCACAGGTGATGGGGTAGAAGACGTCTGCTTCCACGTCCACCTCCTCTGTTAACTTTACTGCAGAGATAAAGATGCAGATAACTTTCTGTGGCCATCAAAAGACGGAAAAAGTATTGCCAAGATATTTTTACAGGACAGGAAATGTGAAGAAAGAGAGCAAGGGAATGGCATGAAAATAAAAGTCTGGGGACCAGGTGGTCGTTGCATCCACCCATTTGACATTTACAACATTATAAAATGTAATCTGAATTATAGAGACAGGAGCGACTGTGCTGACTGAAACATATATAGCTTTATGTCACTGAATACAACTCTTAATAAACAAACACCACAGATAAACTCTGTCGCACAGAATTCAATAAGACTGGAGCAACGGTGTGGGTGTGATCGTGACAAAAAGGAAATGGCAACAAAAGAAATCTGTCTGCACATCTACTGAAGCGCATGAAAGTCCTGCGGGTCACATTACCGATGACTGCCTCTTCCTTTGACAGTGAATCTGCTCTGCTGGCTTCAGCTTCTGCTTCCACTGGTGCTACTGTGAGGACATCCTCCCTGGAAGACCACATGGCATCAATTCAGCAAACTCTGTACTTGTTTTGCATCTCTTTGGGTCATTTTGCATCTCTCTGTACTTGTTATGGCTTGATTTTTTATTTGTTTTACTCATTACTTATTGGTGTAAAGCGACTGAAACTGGTAGATTGTGTATTTATGTTGTTTATTTATGGTTTAGGCATGGGCAGATAATATAAAACAAGAACATTTGTGAACAGAATGTGCACAATCAAAGTAAAATTATTGTGTAGAGGGTTGTAGAGGAGCTTATCCCAGGAGGTGAACGATGGGGGACGCCCTGGACAGACGGCCAGTCCATCCCAGGACCAACACAGGGAGAGACAACCACACACTGACAATTTAGAATTATAAATTAACCCAGCATGCATAGACTGTGGGAGGAAGCTGGAGGACCTGAGGATTTCAACCCAGGACCTCCAGCTGTGAGGCAACAGTGCTAGCCAATTCACCACCGAGCCGCCCTGTGCACATACATGTGGGATTTTGCATCTTTTTATTTCATTTTGAGTGTCTTTGTGGTCATGTAGCATCTCTTTGACTTTCTTTATGCCTTTTTTGCAACTCGCTGTAGTCTTTAAGCACCTCTAGTGTTGTCATTTTTAATCTTTTTGAGGTTGTTTGTAGACTTTTTGTAGCCATTCTGCATTTTTAAACAACTGAACAATCCCTGAGAAGCTGGCTATTCTGCTTAATGTATCGCCGCTGATTATCACAAAGCCGTGTGTGCGGTGTGTATGAGTTACCCTGGTTGAGAGGTGAGCTCTGCGGTCACCAGCACCGCTTTGTCCTCCTCCACCACAGAGGGCAGGTCCTCACTCACTGACTCTGGTATGGTGACGATCACAACCTCACTCATTTCCTGCATGGTGACCTCTGACGAAGCCATGGTGGACAGACGGAGCTGCACAAAGGATGATACGACAGCAGTGAGTGGACACCTGGTGTGAATAACACGATAAGAACGATCAACATTGGAACACATCACGGCATCATCAGTTAAGAAGCAAATGGGATTCAGTCAGAGGAACAGGTTGGAGAGTTATGAGGAATATTATAAAAATGAAATTACGGTAAAAAGCGTTGATTCTGCAAACTACGCCAGACAGGAGTCCTGCTACGACGTGTTATAAATTCATTTTACCAATCAATGCAGCCTCTAATTTCTAGCACCTGCATAATAAACACAATATTAAAGAAGTACATTTAGGTCCGACACTGTCCCGTTATGCAGGACATCACTTTAGACTTTGGTCAAATCAACTTATTTGGTCACTTTAACAGGCTGTTAGTTTAAATTTAGTGTGTTATTGCAGTATTATGCGTTAAACATCACTTGGCGATTGTCTAATCTCCAGTGAATGAGTCGTATTGAGGCTCTCTTGGGGAGCATCTCTGTGAGAATCAGCACAGGAAAACTAAACCATGTCTGAATGACTGAAATGTAGTCGCTTTAATGGGTTGATAAAGTCTGCAATGTTCCACGTCCTGTCTGGAAAGGGCTCAAGATTGTTAGTGTATGAAGAAAGTGAGCAGGAATCAGATGAAGGGATTTAAGTTGCCATGGTTACCTATCAGGTTAAAACAGGACACTGATGCTTCAAAGTACAGACCTCTGGGTAGAAATAATAACACTAATTCCATAATTACAACAAAAAAGTAGTAGTAGTAGTAGTTATAATAAATTGCTTAATAAACTTTTTTCTCCAATTTAGACATTAAGTAAAGCCTTTGAGGACTCTACAAATCCCCCACAACACCTACAAGTGTTTTTAAACCACCGTTGGTGAAGGGTTAACACGTTTCTTCTCTCTAAGGCATGTCCAAGCTATTATTCCACTTTTTAAAATAGAATAAAAAATGAGATAGTTGCAGTACTTGGGTTTTTGTGCAATTTAAACTTGTACTGAATGCAATGTGTTGTGTCCCTTCTTTAGCAACGATGAATGGGACGTGGTGAGGCTACAACAGAGGAGCTTCTAAAGCCTTACCTTTGTCTCTTAACAGTGCAAACAGTCGCCTACGGACTCGTCCTGTGGTGAAAATTTGTGAACGTTATTCCGACGGTGAGGTTGCTAGCTTGCTATATGTGGCTAGCTAGCTATATTTTTAGCCTGTTTCAGTAAGCTATACGCTAAAAGAAAATGCAGCCACTGGATTCATTTTCCTCGCAGGTGTCTCTTTTACATTTCATAAACAGCGCTGCCGCTCTGTCCGAAAATATTCTGGTGCCTACATATGCCGACAAATACATTTAATCTCATATTTACAAGACTACACAAAAGTAGCTAGCCTAGCATTCTTCTTCTTCTTCTTTGTGCATATGTGCCGACCGTAAAGCGCCAATGTGGCCACCTACTGGACAGGAAGAGAGACTACAGCTCATTAAATAGATGCTTAGTGGTGAAACCATTTTTTACTTTTAAAAGTTCTGAATTGGTATGTACATAGAGATCATATCCTTTGGGGTTTTCACATTTTTAAAACAAAATGGCTTAAGTCTTTTTCTGCTTTTGTAGTTTGTCAAAAAAACCCTGATTCTGTTTGGTAGGGGCTCACTCACAAAGGCTGTTTTTAAAGTCATCTCCTCATGTTACTGTGTTCAAAGGTTTGATTTGTTCCCCTGAAAGCCACATGTCCTTATATAGGGTGCTTTACCAACTGTATAATTACTCTGTAGAACACTGGAAAAGCACATGTTAGAGGCCCTTCAATATTTAATCACAAATGAGAACTTTCACGTTGAGAGAAATGAAAAACTGAATATTTAACTGAGTAAATGAAGTATAAAAACAAATGCAACTTTCTTTGTGGTTTGTGGTCAGATTTCCGTAGCATTCGTTGCAAAACCTCCAGGTTCTGCAACAGCTTTCTCCCCCAGGCTGTCAGACTGATAAACTCAGAAACGTCTCCTATAGGCCCAG